TTTGAATACCTTGAATAGTTTTTTTTTTAAGGCAGAAGCTCACTATGCAGTTCAGCCTACCCTTGAACTCACTATCAAGCTCGGGTTGGCCTGGCATTTGTGACAATCCTCCTGCTTCAGCCTCCCAAGTGCTGGAATGTCAGGTGTGAGCCACTGTGCCCAGGCGCTTTAGCTTATTTCTAGATGCTATTCAGAAAGGAGACTCTGCCCCTGGGCCAGTGTGACCGGGAGGACGGGAGGGCCTGCAGCCGTCAGCTGAGCAACCCGTCAGCCAGGGAGAGAGGCAAGAACTGTGTAACCTCATCCAGGTGCGCACTGTGAGTGGGCCCAGAGGTGGCCAGGGCAGCAGGCTGTGTCCCAAGGGGTGGAGTAGGCCAGGAGGGGACAGATGGGCCAGAGGCCCCACGCGTCAGGGAGGCCACGAGCGGTTCTGAAGACCAAAGGACCAGGCAGCGCTCACACTTGCTAATCTCTCGCACTTGCGCCACTCCCCGTGGAGAGTGTCGTCAGCGAGGCCTCCAAACGTGGACCAATAAGGACCTAAACTTTCTAAGGGAAAAGTTGTGTAACCCCCCAAATAATACACTGTACGCTTGAGATTTTTTGTGAGACTGGATCTTAGGTGCCCTGCCACACACAGTTCCCTCTGTAAGGTGACGGGCATGTTTAGTAGCAGGAAGTCCATTTCATAACACACATGCCTGTCAGGTCATCCCTGTGTACATCTTGAACACACACAGCTTTCATTTCTTTAGTATGATGAATAAAAAATAACAGAACTCAAAAATTTCACACTTCATTTTACTGGACTTTAAAATTTGACATATGTTTGACTTAATCATATTTCCATGTCAAGACGCACACTTTTAGTAGCCTGTGGCTATCTCACAATAAATGTAATCTATTTAAATCATCCACAGACATGTAGATTGTTCATCTTTTTATTGAACGCGTTTGATTTTGTGGGAGTGTAAGGACTCACTTGGTAAATGCGGATATACATGTCATTAGGAATACAATGTGCTACGAAGTTGGATCCACATTTCCTGCTTTGTATGTAAAGTTAAGCATGTTCGCATGGGTTATGAGGAATTTTCTCATAGGTTTTTTTTTCATTTTTCTCTTAGTTAGTTTAGATTTCATTAGTGATTGGCATGATCTCAGGAGCTATGAAAAATTTCCTCTTAGTTTTGACTTTGCTTTTCCTGGGTCCTCACAGGGCATGTGGCTCAGAAAGGCTGGAGTCCGCCAGGGCCACAGCCAGGCTGAGGGACCAGGCTCAGGGCCAGCGCAGCGTCTTCCGCAGTGCAGCATGGACCTCGCTGTTCCGCAGGCAGTAGATGACCGGGTTGCACAGGGGCGTGGCCACCGTGTAGATGACTGACAGCACTTTGTTGAGGTCCATGGACTCGATGCGGCTGGGCCGGCAGTAGATGAAGAGAGCCGCTGAGTAGAAGATGCCCACCACCACCAGGTGGGACGCGCAGGTGGAGAAGGCTTTGCGCCGGGCGGCCACTGAGGGCATGCGGAGAACAGCCATGGTGATGGCCGAGTAGGAGGCTAAGGCCACCAGGAGTGTGCCACAGAAGATGACGATGGCGGAGATGAAGTCCACCAGCTCTGTGAGGGCCACATGGGTGCAGGACAGGTTGAGCAGTGGGGAGACGTCGCAGAAGAAGTGGTTGAGGACATTGGGGCC